CACATGCAGATCTGATTTATTTCACTTATGAGTATGGTCTCTAGTTGTGACCATTTACCTATAAAAGCCTCAAGTTTATCTTTTTTTATAGCTGAGTAATATTCCATTATATAAAAGTACCACAATATTTTTCTCCAATCCTCAGTGGATGGACATTTGGGTTGCTTCTACAATTTAGCAACTACAAATTGTGCAGCTATGAACATCAAAGGGTGGTCTTCAGTTAAGCAACAGGGTAACACCTGGTTGTTAGAAATGCAAATCATTAGATCCCACCCAGCCCTACTGCACTGTCTCCTCTGGAAGAGGAGCCCAGCAATTTGAGTTTTATCAAGCCCTTTAAATGATACTATGTGTTCTTTAAAGAACCCTGGAAATCTGAAGGCCATGGGAGGTATAGGCTATCTTCTGTGTTTTGGAGCATGGTGTGCATTTTTGATATCCTAGATGAGTGAGGCACAATAAACTGAACTGAGTGTGGTGGATGTTGTTCCCTGGTACCTCCATCCCTTGCCCTCTGTGCCAGGTTGGCTGCTAAGTCTCCTTCTCTGGAGAACTGCCAGGACTGGCCCACCAGCAACTCAAAAGCCTCCTCCTCTGCTTCAAAGGGAGACAGACTGTGCTATAATTCAAGTTCCTCGAGGTGTAGACCAAAGCCAGTCTCCATGAGGGACCACACTCCTGCTCCCCCTTTCTGCCTGTGCCAAGCTGCTTCCCTCACATTCTCCTGAAAACACTCCTCACACACACAAAAAATGCCTCAACGTGAATCTTAGTCACAGGCTGTGTCCCCAGGAACCCTGAAATGAGACAGCAGATTTTAGACGTAGACAATTTCTGAGCTTGTGTCTAAATTTCCCTAATTACTGCCTATCTGACTTTAGATGAGGTAGGTAACCTACCTGGGTCTGTTTTCCTATGTGTTAAGAAGGACTCATAATGCCCCTACCCCCACCCAAGGGTTTGTTGTGCAGTGTTAAAGTCCCCAGTGCAGTACCTGGAGAGGGAGGCGTGAACTGTCCAGAGCCCCCTTCAAATTCACTGACTTGTCCTCTGGCCTGGATTCATGTTTTTCCTGCAGTCTGTTCTCTTTATGGGGACTCCCTGAGTATCTCATACTAGCCTACCTCATCAATGACTGGAAGTCAGAAATATTTTTTCAAGTGGTGAAGTTCTTGGCAGAACGTGGAGTGCAGGCATAAAGCATAATGAGACTTAATTATACAATTGAAGTTGAAAATATGCTAGGAGCGGTGTCTTGGAGCTCAGAGACTAGGAGGAATAGGTGTCCTAGGTGGGGGCTTTCCCTGGACTTTCCCATCTTATAGCCTCACAGTGAACTTGATGAACTTGGAATTGGAGCTCCCTCTACCTGAACCTAGCTCTTTCCAAGTGTAGAGATCCTGGTAAACAGGAAGGCAAAAACAAAACAAGCATACAAACATAAACAGATGACTGTTGGATCAACCTCACGCCTCTGCTGGTCTGCACCAAAAGTCCCTGCTTGTTCCTGAGGTGTAACTCCTTGTCATAACCTTCTAGTGGCCCCTGACCAGCCCATTTTAAGAGCCTTCATTTTTCCGGCACTTAACACTAGTAGCTTGTTGGCAAGTTTGTTGTTTACCTCTCCTGATACAACTCCATGAGTAGAGTGACTTGGTAAATCCTGGTCACAGCTCTATCTCCAACACACAGTAGGTCCTCAATAAATTCTTGGTCTTGAAGCCACCCGGATTGTCACATGTAGTGTACTGATAACTGGTGGTCAACTTATACCTCCCAGCTAAACTGAGTGAGAGTGGTGCTGGGTATGGGATGTCCACCTGGGGATTGTTGCCAGCAGCATAAGAGGCAGAACTGGAGAAGGAAAAGTTATGGCTGTTGGGAGTGGAGAAAGGCTGTTGGAGCTTGGTTGTTTTGGAGGAGCTTGTCATGCTGGCTTTCCTGATGAACTTGGCTATTTTCATCCTGCGAGGAGCTTGGGACCTCATTGGCCCTGAGAATGGCTTTGATTCACTTTGGGGGAGCTCTGGTCCTCACTTTGAGCTTCGCTTCCTGGCTCCAGAGGGGAAGATGGTGTCCTGATGGTCTCCAGGAGAAACTTGCTGCATTGGCTTCCCTGATGGGAACTCGCCCATCTTGATCATTGGAGGAACTTGGGACCTCACTGTTGCTGAGGATGGCTGTGGTACCTTTCGAGGGGAGCTCTTGTTCCTCTGAGCATTGCTTCTTGGCTCCAGTGCAGATCCCTCAGCCTGCTAGCATAGATGCTTCATCTTGCTGGCACAGACTTTCGAGGTTCCACCACTCACCTTTGGGCCTTTGCAGCACAGATCTGTGAAACAGGCCTGTGTGAGACGTTGTTGTGGGCTCTGGGCCTCCAGCTGGATTCATGGGCGCTCTAGGTATTCAGCTGGACTCACATAGGACATTGCCACGGGATCTAGGCCGTCAGCTGGATTGCTTGGTCTTAGTGTGTAGACAGATTTCCTGCACTCTTTTGTATACTGTTCTTTGGGCGATGATTCTAAATAATCGTATAAAGTATGGGTCCTGTATTATTGTTTCCCCTTGCAAATAAGCCCCAAACCAACACAGTCACACATTTCTGGTGAGAGTTTGGAAATCTTGCTGACTATATCTACCAAGGCTGAGCTCCGTGCCTGGGTATTTATCCACAGAAATGTGAAGGTGTTTGCCAAAAGTTAGGTTCTAGAGTGTTCACTTCAGCACTTTTAGCAACACCTACGAACTGGAAGTCACCCCAATACTCACCAAAACAGAATGGATCAACAAATTGTGGTATATTAATACAAAGAAATATTATATGGCAATGAGAACCAGTAATCTTCAGTTGCAGGTAAAAACGTGAATGAATCTCAGTAGCATGAAGTTAGAAATTAGGCTCAAGAAAGCAGATTCTCTATGTTTCCTTTTATATAAAACACAAAACTGGGCAAAACTGATCTTCGTGTTAGAAGTCCTGGTGAATACATGGGATCCTGTATGGAGGGAGCTGAGGGGGCAGTGAGGTTGCTCATCACGTTTGATTTCTTTACCTTAAAAAAAACAAGGGGTGGTGCTGGGGCCTGGGAGCCAACCAGTCCCACCCTGTTTGCCTGGAGCAGTGCCAGGCCTGTGAGGGCGCAAGTGGGGCTGCCAGAGGCTCCACGGAGGAGCGGGTCCGGAGACAGGGAGGCGCGGCCCAAGTTTGGGGCTGCAAAACCAGGACAAGCTGTGCGGCCCAAG